ATGGAGCATCTGGCCTATCATCAACAGGGGCCTAGGGTTTAGGGATGGGTTTGGGGGTTTCTCGGTTGAAGCTCAAAGACAGCAGCCTGAAGCCCTGATTCTGAAGGCTCACCCAAAACTGGGGTTCAGTGCCTTGCGTGGATGGAGGGCTTGGGGAGCTGCCACCAAAACCCGCAAAACCTAAACCTTAAACAGCAAAGCCTCAAACCCTAAACCCTAAACCTTAAACCCTAAAGCCTCAACCTCTCCACCCTCAAAGGGCTTTGGGAAGGAAAGGCCCAGCCAAAAAAATAAGGAGGCTTCTTTGAGGGATCTCTGCTCCTACCTACCATGATCCAACCTTTGGAGGTTCTTGATCTTCATAGCCTTATATGGGAGTCTCCGAAAATAAGGGGTACCCTGTTTTGGGGGGGTCCTTATAATAAGGATCCTACTATTTAGGGTACTATATTAGGGTCCCCTATTTTCTGAAACCCCCATATACTTTTAAGGTGCTTCCTACTCCAGCAGGTCTGCGAATGTATGTGGGCTTTACGTTGGATGATCTGCTGAGGGCTATTCAAATCATGTTGGGATCAGACTTGGTTTTGAGGGGTGAGGAGTGAACTTCTTTGCCGGCTGGCATGAGAGATTCACGTTGACAAGTTTCCGCTCCGAGACCTCCAAAATCAAAGACCCGTATGAAAGTAGTTCAAGGACTATGTGATAGTGGAGTCCCTGGGCTAGTAACATGTGCATGCGCTTCTGCTTTAGGGGGAAGGCTGCGAACCATCACAGCCTTGCAGCCTTGCTAGGGCAGAGAGCTGAAGGAAGCTGCTCTAGATGCCACTGGCGGAAGGTGCTTCTAAACCCCTACAAACCCTTATAAACCCCTTTTGAAACCGGACTTGATGACTGCCAGTATAAACCCCTAAACCTTAAACCCCTATAAAACCCTAACCCCAAAACCCCTAAACCCTAAACCCCCATGAACCCTAAACCCCTACCGTAAGAACCCAAAACCTGCTTTTTTGTAGGGTCCCTATAAATCCCATATTAGGGTTTATAATAAGAACCTACAAAAAAATGGGCTTTGGGTTCTTAAGGTACACCCTTTAGTGCTGAGAGCTTTGGGTTTAGGCTTCCTCTGTCGGTGCCGCGGGCGCGGCGGGCGTGGCATCCGCACCTCGGCTGCAGGAGCGGCTTGGGGCTTTCCAGCTTCAGGGCTGCACCGTAAGGCCTTAATTTAGACCCTGGGTTTAGGGTTTAGGGGT